GACATTGAAATTCATATGTCACACTTCCGTGGACGTCCTTCCCAAATGTCCAACACAGCTCTAGGAATGAAAACCCGAGCAATGCTTAGCCCAGACATATAAAAGTAAGATGAAAGAAAAACATTGTCAGATTCTATTCTTAATCACGTGGGGGTGAAAACAAATCCTTTAATGTTCCGGCTGTGTTTGGGCGTTCATTTCAACGTCTCAGATACGAAAACAGATGAGGTTAACGTTCCTCTTGGAAACACACGCGCCGTGTTCCAAGTTTTTAATCAATTTGACGGGTTGCTAAATACAACGCAACTTTGTTAACAGTAGCGTCAGAATGAAAATACCCAAACAATCTTTTCAGCTCAACCCAGTTTATGAGTCCTTGCTTTCTTTTGTCCGGCACCTTGTACCACATGCTGTGTCCAATACTTGGACAGACTGCTATACAATTGATTTGGACTTTTTGTTTGGGGTTAGAGCCAATTTTATAGCTAGTGTCCTTTGTACTTGTGTCATTGGGGCGGTGGGGTAGCTAATGGTTAAAGCGTTCGCTCGTCACGCCAAAGAACCGGGTTCGATTCCCCACATGGGTATAATGTGTCAAGGCCATTTCTGATGTCCGACGCCGTGGTATTGCTGGAACGTTCCTAAAAAAGCGTAAGCCTATACTCACTCACTCACCCTTGTGTCATATGCTGTGTTGCCAGGCACCCAGTATAGGCCCAATGGACAGAACGTTGTACAGTAATCCATGGTTATGATGAAATCAAAGAGACAAACCGTAGCACGTAATACGCACTTCGTCTAAATTGTACTGCAGACCGGAACAAACAAACAAACAAACACAAACAAACACACACAAACAAACACACACACACAAACACACACACACACACACACAACAAACAAACAAACACACACACAACAAACACACACACACACACACACAAACACAAACACACACAAACAAACAAACACACACAAACAAACAAACACACACACACACACACACACAAACACACAAAACAAACAAACACACACAAAAGTTCAAACACACACACACACACACACACACACACCAAAGTTCGTCCGTCAGTTTGTTATAGATGTCTTCGTAAACATGTAGTTTACTGTTGCTATGATTGTACATGTATATCGTTTTACCAAGGCATTCTAGAAGGATCATTTATGTAACAGAAACATATTGCTGTGCGATCCTGAGTGGGCTGGTTTAGAAAGAGGTAATAGTAAGTATAGTAATTGTGCATAGAGCCCAGGTCACAAATCAGTTGATTTTAAGCAACATTGGACACGGTGCGTCCTTGGATGTGTGACCGTGTTTGGCAGCTCGACTCCTGAGACCCCCCACAACGAAGCACACGAGACACATGTCGTCTCACCCTTGGTAATTGACTTTTTTGAGAGGCTTTTAAAAGTTGGATCAAGAAGGAAGAATGACAAAATATGGATGAACAACTTCTTTATTACAGTGAGAGCGACGTTTCAGTGAGTGAATGAGTTTGGTTTTACGCCGCTTTTAGCAATATTCCGGCAATATCACGGCGGGGGACACCAGAAATGGGTTTCACACATTGTACCTATGTGGGTAATCGAACCCGGGCCTTCGGCGTGACGAGCGAACGCTTTAACCACTAGGCTACCCCACCGCCCCGAGCGACATTTCAAGCAACGTGATAACGGTGTAAAAACCACACGGAAACGTCGCTCTCACTGTAAAAAAGAATTTGTTCATCTGTATATTGTCATTCTTTCTTCTTGGCAAACTTGCCTCTGTTCGCCCAGCAGTGATTGGTTACCCGGTGGGATACGCTATATGCCTGTTAACCATCTAACATGTCATTGTATCTCAATTCCGTAGACCGATGCTCGTGATATTGATCACTGGATTGTCTGGTCCAGATTTGATTATTTACAGACCACCGCCATATAGCAGGAGTATGGCGTTTAACAACAAACAACTATGTTCCAATACATATTTGAAACACGCAACTAATCGCAATCGCCAGAACGCAACCGAACCGAGCATCAAAGCAATCACTTCAGGGTAGCGATGCAGAAACGCGTTTTCTGGGGCGACTTTAGCGAGCTTAAGGCGGCCATTAGAAGTATTTCTTGAACTAATGGCATGCCATTAAACCCTAATGATAGCCCCACGTCCACATACGGCTGAATCAAGGTTAATCATCCGTCCAACAAGCGAATAATTGGGTGCGGACCAGGTTTTCACCCCCGGCCGTAGTAACGAGATGGCCGCATCGGGAAGTGTAAGTATGTAAGGGGCAATGAAGAAGCATCGACAATCCTAAAACGAATACAATCACTTGTCGCATTTCTGATACGTTAGAGCCAATCCTCAATAAATCATTTTTTTTCTGGGTCTGTCTGATTTTGGAACTTCGAGACGTCTCTGTGCCAACTACAGCGTCATGATGGCCCTGAAAGACGTGCACAGACCCGGGGGCTAATTTTTGAATAAATGTCCGTTGCCGTTTTCGTTTTTTTCTGATTCCGTAGCTTCACATATGCGCATGGATTTTTATAAAACTGGAACAGGGCCTTAGGATGTGTCTAAGAATCTTTCGATGTACTCAATCAGAAATACAAAGATTTTTTTGTGTGTCAATGAGCATGTGGGTGTTATATGTCAGTGTGTGTCAAGACAATTTATAGGCTGTCGTTGATTAACGTCTACTGATAAGGTGCTTACGATATCTGTATTTAGTAAGTTTCTTTACTTAAATAGCTTTAAAAGCAAAATTATTTATATTTAGGACATAGTCCCCTGGCATAAACTGGTTACACACTGTTTATTGAACCTGGTTATTTCTCGAATGTTGAATTTGGAATTTCAGTAATATATAATTCAGAGGCCCAGATAAGCTGCGTATCCGGGTAAAATACACATAGAAAATTCCCATTTACGCATTGAAAAATAATTGTTGCGTACCAATTACGCATTTAAAATGTTAGATACGCAAAAAGTTTAAAACAAATGCGTACGGAATATATTTATAAAAATCGCTTGTGTAATGAAAATGACATCGATTGCTATCAGTATAGGGCAAGTGTTGTACTGTCAGTATAGGATGAGTGATTTCCATTATATTTAAGTTGGTTTTGATTAGGTATGACATAAGGCAGAACATACCTGCTTAGTAAACTTACTCAATGACATAATACTTAAGTGAGTAAAATGACTGAAATACGCACATATTTGAAAGCAGTGGGTAACAGAAATTGAAATACCCACTCAACATTTATAATACCCACTCCCCAAAAATACAGTGGGTACAGTACCCACATGAGCTAAATCTTATCTGGAGCTCTGAATTATAATGTGTTGTGGTGAGAAACATAACTTTGTTTAAAAAACATATAACAAAAACAAAATCTTGGAAAAACAACCGAGTAATAGAATATATTGGTAAATACGCGGTTGGAAATTACATTGACACCCCATGTGTGTCCTTGAGTGTATGGATTAGCCCTGAACGAATATTCCTGAGTGGGTATGTGAGATTCATCCAAATCATTCTGCTTGAAGTTCAACCATATCTGGACTAGAATTACACACAGCATGTGGGAGAACAAAACCTTCTTAAACTCAGAACTCAACCTCGTTAGATTTTTCCGACCTGTTAAGATGGGAACCGTTAACCCATTCGCTGCGTCAGCTTCGATCTCATCCCGGATCGACATAGGCAAAGATAAAAATGGCCGCCCACTCAGGACAAACCCATGAGCGAGAAAATGTTTGTGCGAAGCTGGTGATAAACAAAATGAAAGGTTGTCGTTACTTCCTAAACGATGCTATGGTGATGGGTGTGTCAAGTTATACGCTGCCGTACTTATGTATATTCACACATAAAATTTGCCAGAGCGGAAACGCAGAGGTTCACTGCCCACACATATAAATGCGAGTCCAGATTTTGTAAACTGAACAGACCGTTCCTTTCAAATGACCATTAAAACCAATCAGTTTCGTCAGTTTCGTCACGCCGAAGACCGGGTTTGATTCCCCACCTGGGTAAAATATGTGAAGCCATGTCTGGTGTCCACCGCCGTGTTATTGCTTGAATATTGCTGAAAGTGGCGTCTAACTAAATTCACTCACCCACAGTCAGTTAAATGGTTTAATATCAGCACACCTTTCAGTTCCGCCATATTCCTACCACACGCCCACTGCTGTGGTGTTGGGACATCACGACAAACCTTTCTGCATTTTTCTAAACGTTACCTCCACAATAACATCTCGAGCAGTCGCAAACGAGTCGCTTAGCCGTTTTCGTAGATCATCATGTCAGCTAAAATTGGTTTTGGAAATGCAGTTTAAAAATCAACACGACCATCGTCGCGCATTTTAGTTAACTGCTCGAGACAAAAAAAACGTTGATGACGTCGGGTAAGCGAGGATACGCAGTGCAAAACTGCACAACAATAAAAACGAACAATAGCACCAATTATCTCAAGAGTCTTTGGATTCAAATCCACGATCAAATGATAGTCATGTACACGTGATACAAGTGGGGGCGGTGGAGTACAAGGTATGCATTCCAATAATCTATCTGGCAACGGTTATCATGTAAGCTGATTTTAAAGACAACCAATAGAATCTTTCACGGACGAGCGTTGTTTCTTGTGTTGCAAAAGTGAAATCGATCGCCATCCACCTTGGTTATGTATCTCACCTTTCATGAATGTCGAAATTCCATGCGTGACATGCATGTTGTAAGTTGATCGTGCTTAAGTGGTTGGGTATGTAAATGTGAGTCATCATATCGCAGCGATGCCTAATACACCGGTCGCACATACTTCACCATCGACACCGAACACGTGAAGATCCGGGTTAGAATTGGTCTTCAGTAACCCATGCTTGTCGTAAGAGGCGACTAACAGGATCGGGTGGTCAGGCTCGCTGACTTGGTTGACACATGTCATGTTACCCCAATGCGTAGATCGATGCTCATGCTGTTGATCGCCGACAGCTCCGACACCGCCGACACAACCTTCACCTGCAACAACTGACACATCCTACACCTGCAACACCGACACACCCTACACCTGCAACAAGGACACACCCTACACCTGCAACACCGACAGCTCCTGCACCTGCAACACGGACACACCCTACACCTGCAACACCGACAGCTCCTGCACCTGCAACACGGACACATCCTACACCTGCAACAAGGACACACCCTACACCTGCAACACCGACACATCCTGCACCTGCAACACGGACACACCCTACACCTGCAACACCGACAGCTCCTGCACCTGCAACACGGACACATCCTGCACCTGCAACACGGACACACCCTACACCTGCAACACCGACAGCTCCTGCACCTGCAACACGGACACATCCAACACGGACACACCCTACCCCTACAACAGCGACACATCCTGCACCCGCAACACGGTCACACTCTACACCTGCAACACCGACATCTCCTGCACCTGCAACACGGACACATCCTACACCTCCAACACCGACACACCCTACCCCTACAACAGCGACACATCCTGCACCTGCAACACGGACACACCCTACACCTGCAACACCGACACATCCTACACCTGCAACACCGACACACGCTACACCCGCAACACCGACATATCCTGCACCTGCAACACCGACAACACCCGCGATATCGACACATGCAACACCAGCCACACTGACACACCCTACATCTGCCACATCGATACACCCTACACCTGGGACATCGAGACTGACACATGCTACACCACCGACATCGACACTTCCTACACCTGGGACATCGACACATGCTACACCAGCGACATTGACACTTCCTACACCTGTGACATCGACACATGCTACACCAGCGACATCGACACTGCCTACACCTGGGACATCGACACGGACACATGCTACACTGCCTACACCTGGGACATTGACACGGACACATGCTACACCAGCGACATCGACACTTCCTACATCTGTGACATCGACACGGACACATGCTACACCTGCACATCGACACTCTCTACACCCTACACCATGCTTCGACACGGACACATGCTACACCAGCGACATCGACACGGACACACGTGACATCGACACTGCCTACACCTGTGACATCGACACGGACACATGCTACACCAGCGACATCGACACGGACATCGACTTACTGCACCTGGGACATCGACACGGACACATGCTACACTGCCTACACCTGGGACATCGACACGGACACATGCTACACCAGCGACATCGACACTTCCTACACCTGTGACATCGACACGGACACATGCTACACCTGTGACATCGACACGGACACACGCTACACCAGTGACATCGACACTGCCTACACCTGTGACATCGACACGGACACATGCTACACCAGCGACATCGACACTCTCTACGACTGGGACATCGACACGGACACATGCTACACCAGCGACATCTACACATGCTACACCTGCGACATCAACACATGCTACACCTGTGACATCGACACTCCCTACACCTGGGACATCGACATGGACACATGCTACAGCAGTGACATCGACTCTCCCTACACCTGGGACATCGACGCTCCCTACACCTGTGACATCGACACTCCCTACACCACCGACATCGACACTTCCTACACCTGTGACATCGACACGGACACATGCTACACTGCCTACACCTGGGACATTGACACGGACACATGCTACACCTGTGACATCGACACTGCCTACACCTGGGACATCGACACGGACACATGCTACACCAGCGACATCGACACTTCCTACACCTGTGACATCGACACGGACACATGCTACACTGCCTACACCTGGGACATTGACACGGACACATGCTACACCTGTGACATCGACACTGCCTACACCTGGGACATCGACACGGACACATGCTACACCTGTGACATCGACACGGACACACGCTACACCAGTGACATCGACACTGCCTACACCTGTGACATCGACACGGACACATGCTACACCAGCGACATCGACACTCTCTACACCTGGGACATCGACACGGAAACATGCTACACCAGCGACATCTACACATGCTACACCTGCGACATCAACACATGCTACACCAGCGACATCGACACTCCCTACACCTGGGACATCGACACGGACACATGCTACACCAGCGACATCGACGCTCCCAACACCTGGGACATCGACACGGACACATGCTACAGCAGCAACATAGACACTGCCTACACCTGGGACATCGACACTCCCTACACCTGCGACATCGACACGGACACATGCTACACCAGCGACATCGACAATCCTTACACCTGCGACATAGACTCTCCCTACACCTGTGACATCGACACGGACACATGCTACACCAGCGACATCGACGCTCCCTACACCTGGGACATCGACGCTCCCTACACCAGCGACATCGACGCTCCCTACACCTGGGACATCGACACGGACACATGCTACACCAGCGACATCGACACATGTTACACCTGCGACATCGACGCTCCCTACACCAGCGACATCGACGCTCCCTACACCTGCGACATCGACGCTCCCTACACCTGCGACATCGACGCTCCCTGCACCAGCGACATCGACGCTCCCTACACCTGCGACATCGACGCTCCCTACACCTGCCACATCGACACATGTTACACCTGCGACATCGACGCTCCCTACACCTGGGACACCGACGCTCCCTACACCTGGGACATCGACACGGACACATGCTACACCATCAACATCGACAAATGCTACACCAGCGACATCAACACATGCTACACCAGCGAGAGCGACTCCGACACATCCTACACCCTGTCACACAGACACTTCGTACACCAGCGAAACACCCTACACCAGGTGTTGTTTTGGGTCACTATGAGTTGTTGTTGTTGTTGGGTTTTTGTTGTTGTTGTTGTTTTGTTTGTTTGTTTGTTTGTTTGTTTGTGTGTGTGTGTGTGTGTGTGTGTGTGTGTGTGTGTGTGTGTGTGTGTGTGTGTTGTGTGTGTGTTGTGTGTGTGTTGTGTGTGTTTGTTTGTACCTTGCTTTTTTTCTTTGCAGAACACGAGAAAAGTGAAACATGACGGTGTCAACCTAACAATTAAAACATCATAACTACTTGACAGTGTAGTTATGTGAAATTACCCATACTCTTTAGTCCCTTTCGGATACAATGCATCATAAAATATTAATATTCCTAAGGCAATGGCATTGACATGAGGTTAACACTGAAACCGATAATTGTGATGAAAAACTATATATTTTATCAGCATTTTTGTGTTAAATGCATATCATGCATGCCATGAACAAAACATTTGATCATATTTTCTAAAACAATCGTATTGTAATAATAGAGTACTAGGTGAGCTTCGGTTTGCGGCGATCTTAACTGTCAGTACTCGCTTACAGCAACAAGACTACGGCTGTCGAGGCGTGTAACATCACCGTCGCGCCCACACTTAAATCGACTAATTACCTCCAAACATTGTGGTTGTCATGGAAACAGGAAGGTTTCTCTTCCCGCTATTATCAATGTAACCAACTCCTCAACCAGAAGTCGATTCGTTACAAGGAAACGCTAATGAAGGTGAAAGCGTTTTATTATTTCGTTGTCATGAACGCCGACATGTTTGCATAGATTATTGTGTGTCATAAAAGATTGTTTATGTGTCATAGAAGCATAAAACGGAAGCAAGTTCCTTATTTGTGTTGCGGTAGTTAAACTAATTGTTCCATCGTTCTCGCTTAATGAATGCTGAATATTATCTTTCTGTCTTCAGAACTCTGCCTTAATGAAAAGCTTTGTACAAACTGCTATTGATCAGGTATGAAAGATTCAGTTCCTGTCATGGTTTGGAAGATTCTTTCATGTTCCTAGTTTATTGTCCATGGTTATTTGGTGATGATTGGATTTGAAACAACCATTTAAAGGTAGACCGGTACCTTCACAATGTCATAAACATTATAGACAGTTTACAGATAAACAACCTTTCTAGTTTCATGTAAATACGGGCGATTTTCTTCTCCATCCGATCTGTTCGGATTGACGAGGTTCCAGTTTTACTGGCAACGGTTTACGGTCATGGTTGTTTTCGTATTTGTAATATTGAAATGTGTCGGATTGTCGAGGTTCCAGTTTTACTGGCAACGGTTTACGGTCATGGTTGTTTTCGTATTTGTAATATTGAAATCTGTCGGATTGACGAGGTTCCAGTTTAACTGGCAACGGTTTACGGTCATGTTGTTTTCGTATTTGTTATATTGAAATGTGTCGGATTGACGAGGTTCGAGTTTTACTGGCAACGGTTTACGGTCATGGTTGTTTTCGTATTTGTAATATTGAAATGTGTCGGATTGTCGAGGTTCCAGTTTAAGAGTGACCAATTCTAACCCGAATCTTCACGGGTCTGCATCCCTAGGGCACACCAGACACCTATGAGGGTGAGTTCGAATCCCGGGTAGCCCTTGTTATGTGTCAAGGTTTGTTAGCACCATGCATTTGATGCATCCTATTAATATCCCTCCAACATTAAGATGACACACCATGAGTCCAAGCCCACTCTCTCACGCTATATCTACAAGTGGATGTACAGAACACATTTATAGTCTAACGTAACGCAATTCTTTGCATTGGTTGTACTGAATACCGCCCAATCGTTGTCCAATATAACTTATATTTCTGACATCGGTTCTACTGAATACCGCCCAATCGTTGTCCGATGTAACCTATATATCTGACATTGGTTGTGCAGAATACCGCCCAATCGTTGTCCGATGTAACCTATATATCTGACATTGGTTGTACAGAATACCGCCCAATCGTTGTCCGATGTAACCTATATATCTAACATTGATTGTACAGAATACCGCCCAATCGTTGTCCGATGTAACCTATATGTCTGACATTGGTTGTACAGAATACCGGCCAATCGTTGTCCGATGTAACCTATTTATCTAACATTGGTTGTACAGAATACTCACAATCGTTGTCCGATGTAACCTATATATCTAACATTGGTTGTACAGAACACTCACAATCGTTGTCCGATGTAACCTATATATCTAACATTGGTTGTACAGAATACCGCCCAATCGTTGTCCGATGTAACCTATATATCTAACATTGGTTGTACAGAATACCGGCCAATCGTTGTCCGATGTAACCTATTTATCTAACATTGGTTGTACAGAATACTCACAATCGTTGTCCGATGTAACCTATATATCTAACATTGGTTGTACAGAATACCGCCCAATCGTTGTCCGATGTAACCTATATATCTAACATTGGTTGTACAGAACACTCACAATCGTTGTCCGATGTAACCTATATATCTAACATTGGTTGTACAGAATACCGCCCAATCGTTGTCCGATGTAACCTATATATCTAACATTGATTGTACAGAATACTCACAATCGTTGTCCGATGTAACCTATATATCTAACATTGGTTGTACAGAATACCGCCCAATCGTTGTCCGATGTAACCTATATATCTAACATTGGTTGTACAGAATACTCACAATCGTTGTCCGATGTAACCTATATATCTAACATTGGTTGTACAGAATACTCCCAATCGTTGTCCGATGTAACCTGTATATCTAACATTGGTTGTACAGAATACTCACAATCGTTGTCCGATGTAACCTATTTATCTAACATTGGTTGTACAGAATACTCACAATCGTTGTCCGATGTAACCTATTTATCTAACATTGGTTGTACAGAATACTCACAATCGTTGTCCGATGTAACCTATTTATCTAACATTGGTTGTACAGAATACCGCCCAATCGTTGTCCGATGTAACTTATTTATCTAACATTGGTTGTACAGAATACTCACAATCGTTGTCCGATGTAACCTATTGTATCTAACATTGGTCCGATGTACCTAGAATACTCACAATCGTTGTCCGATGTAACCTATATATCTAACATTGGTTGTACAGAATACTCACAATCGTTGTCCGATGTAACCTATATATCTAACATTGGTTGTACAGAATACTCACAATCGTTGTCCGATGTAACCTATATATCTAACATTGGTTGTACAGAATACTCACAATCGTTGTCCGATGTAACCTATTTATCTAACATTGGTTGTACAGAATACTCACAATCGTTGTCCGATGTAACCTATTTATCTAACATTGGTTGTACAGAATACTCACAATCGTTGTCCGATGTAACCTATTTATCTAACATTGGTTGTACAGAATACTCACAATCGTTGTCCGATGTAACCTATTTATCTAACATTGGTTGTACAGAATACTCACAATCGTTGTCCGATGTAACCTATATATCTAACATTGGTTGTACAGAATACTCACAATCGTTGTCCGATGTAACCTATTTATCTAACATTGGTTGTACAGAATACTCACAATCGTTGTCCGATGTAACCTATTTATCTAACATTGGTTGTACAGAATACTCACAATCGTTGTCCGATGTAACCTATTTATCTAACATTGGTTGTACAGAATACTCACAATCGTTGTCCGATGTAACCTATTTATCTAACATTGGTTGTACAGAATACTCACAATCGTTGTCCGATGTAACCTATTTATCTAACATTGGTTGTACAGAATACTCACAATCGTTGTCCGATGTAACCTATTTATCTAACATTGGTTGTACAGAATACTCACAATCGTTGTCCGATGTAACCTATATATCTAACATTGGTTGTACTGAATACCGCCCAATCGTTGTCCGATGTAACCTATTTATCTAACATTGGTTGTACAGAATACCGCCCAATCGTTGTCCGATGTAACTTATTTATCTAACATTGGTTGTACTCAATACCACCCAATCGTTGTCCGATGTAACTTATTTATCTAACATTGGTTGTACTGAATACCGCCCAATCGTTGCCCAGTTTAACCTATATATCTAACATCGGTTGTACAGAATACCGCCCAATCGTTGTCCGATGTAACTTATTTATCTAACATTGGTTGTACTCAATACCGCCCAATCGTTGTCCGATGTGACCTACATATCTAACATTGGTTGTACTGAATACCGCCCAATCGTTGTCCGATGTAACCTATATATCTAACATTGGTTGTACAGAATACTCACAATCGCTGTCCGATGTAACCTATATATCTAACATTGGTTGTACTGAATAAACAGACAGATAAACATTATTTCTAATAGTATATCCCTGTAAATGAATGGCGTCCTTCGATTACACTGATTCATCTCAACATGCCTGTTATAAGGACATATATACTATACACCATTGATTTACAATTCAGTTCAGCCTTGGACCAAAGCGACCTATATAACTACCATTGGCTCATTCCGATCAGATGTAACCTGAATATCTGCGATTGGAACACACATGCATAAATGCTATTGCTGCTACACAAACACGGGTGTAGCTTCTATTTACTCATATACAGTCAGCAGTCTGGCTCTTAGCGACAATTATAATATTTATATGTGTTTGATTAAACGTGGTTTTATTGATGCATAATCAGCCTGTTTTCTCCATACTGTACGCGATAACCGCTATCTCAGGTTCCCGATCACTCTGTATTCTCCGCCGGCAACGCAGCACAACACAGGATCTAGAATGACATCACGCCATGCCAATTGTTTTTATAGGTTTCCATTGACCGAATTCTGTATACGGTGAAAAGCAACAGAAGAAAGAAACGTAAACAAGTGATCGCATAACTACAGAGAACTTTAGAAACGGCGCTTGGGGAATTGAGGCGATTAATCGGTTAATAGGCAAACAGACAGATCTTCCATATTGACCACCGCACGGCCAAATCTTGCAACAATTTACGACCCTCTTGGGAGCGTGGTACCGTTAGCTGAATTTAAATGATATGGAATTCTTTAA